CTATAATATGTTCTTTTTGTTTCCATGTTAGTTTCAATGGGGGGAGAAATGCGTAACATTATAGATTTTTTAGTTAAAACTACAAGGTTCGTTACGCTTTCTGGCACAACGCGTGGCACGCAAATTTTGAAAAATTTAGAGCGTAGCGCTTTTCGGGCGGTTTGTTCGAGCTGAATTTTCCATCGCTAATCGTTGTAGGTGGCCGTAGAAATCACGTGATTCTGTAGTACAATTGGACGCTGAAAACAACCCACCCGGAGTTTGTACGACGCTTGTGTAAAAAGTTAAGGTAAAATATATCTTTTGTCTTCTAAATTTATTTTTTAATTTACGATAGAAAACGCTCTGGGTGCAAGTTATACTGATAGATATATCATTTAGCTCTCTTAAAAAGTCATTTTTGTTAAAAATAATTAAAGTTTTGAGGAAGAAAATCGAACTTTACTACAATACCCTAATCTAGTTCACTTCGTAAAGTAAAAAAAAAAATTCACATGCAGAGCCAGATGTCAGGGGCAAGTAACTCTGGATTGTTTTTATATAACTGAAGTAAACAAACAAACAACTTCCATCAAAGGTATGACTAGTTCTGGTAGTACAAGGTTGACCAATATTATTATTAACGGCCAAAGATACTTTTTTTATATTTGAATACTGAATATAAAAAAGTTGAAACTAAAAAGAAACGTTCAAAGGATATTGAAAAATGTGGTGGGCTTTGGTCCTCCTCCAGGGTGATAAAAAGAGTAAATTCGTATCAATCCAAGAAGGTTCAGGTTGATTGAAGAAAGCGCAGGTCGAGTACTAGAAAATATTGATCGATGGGCGGGGAGGGGGGCGTTTACCCATACTCTGTGTGCATTACGCTGCAGTAGTCATTAGGTGCAGAATTAAAAAGAAATTGAACCTTCTTGAAGATAAGTTCACTTGGCAGCAAGGCAAGGTGAAATAATAATTAGTATTGAGCTCCTCAGAAGAAGGATATTAATAATTATTATGATTGTTGCTTCTGTCAAATTCCGTGGCTCAGAAGCCCATGTTACTTTGAACTTCAGTTGTGAAATGAAAAATATTGGAATCTTGCTGTTGACAGAGAATATTGCTGGTCTGGTAATTGGTAATATGGCTTGGTATCGTAGGGAGTTTACATATTCTGTACTTTGCCTACCTTTTGCAGTCTCTGTTACCTTTTTTACTTATGGTGTGGAGGCGAGAAGCAAACATCTTTCTCTTCATGTGTATGTTTTCTTGTATAATACTGGTTTTCTTTCATGTTTTCCACTACTGCCTCCAGCAGTTGAAAACATCTCTGTGTTGTTGATTTGTTATTGTTATTATTCTGCCTTTCCTGTCCTGCTTCTTCCTGTTTGTTTTTTTAATTGATTAAAAATGTAGGTGATTTTACACCCCCTTCCTGTCTGTTCGGGCCAACCTGGGCTGAGAGAGATACAACATCACAGTAGAAAGACAGAGATACAATACTGTTAAAAAAAAAGAAAGGCATAACCAAATTGGCCATCGTGTATAATCGTATATATAGCACTGAATAACTTTTGATATAAATAAAGGAAAGAAAATACATTTTGAAATTTTATTCATTGCTGTTTATTGATTATCACCAAAGTTGAATTGATTTTGAACAATCAATTGGATGCTCCAATCCGTCAGTCCAAGGGCGGCCACTCAGTACCGGGTGTGGCCTCGTGCTGACTGGAGTACCGCTTGACATCTTCTAGGCATGGAGGCGCTGAGACGACGAATGTTGGGGAGTAGTATTGCTCTCCACTCTTCATCCAAGGTTGCAAACAGTTCATGAGGAGTGGCAGGGGCGACAGGTCTGTTCCGCAGACGTCTGTCCAAAGCATCCCAAATGTGTTCTATAGCGTTCATATTCGGTGAATTTGAAGGCCATGGGACAGTCGGGATGTTGTTCCCAGCCAGAAAATCTCTAGTTACTCTGGTAGTATGCGGTCTGGCATTGTCCTGCTGGAAGATTGCCCCTGGTTGTTGAAGCAATGGAGGGGCATGTGGTGGGAGAACGTTGTTGATGTTGGCCTGGGCTGCCAGATTGCCTTGTACTCTCACCAAGTTGCTCCAGCCAGTGTGGCTGATTGCTCCCCACACCATCACACTGCCACCACATCGCGATAAGGCCAATAATAACTAGGTGCACTATCCTCTTCTGAATAAAACATACTGGATACACATACAGATACCTTGAATTTCATCGGAGCAGAAAATAGTATAATATGTATGCTATCGAATGGTCTTTGACTGACAGATTTACTGGAGCCAGGCTCCGAAAAGATGAAACAGGTGTCGAAAGGGGGTTTTGCATAAAACAGTAATATCATAATTTGGCTTGACCCTGCTTAGAATTTATTACGTGGTGTTTCTGAACATGAATTCAGTTGGGAGACCTTAGAGCTCTCTCCCTTATTAAAGCCGTCTTATCGGCAGTGGAATTTGAATGCCCACCTCTCCAAGAGCCTCATTTTCT